ACAATTAAAGGCTTTATATGTAATTGAAACTATAAGTCTGAAAAGGTTCTATTGCCCTCGTTGGTCAATATCATTTTTTACTAGTCATTTCCTTATCAAAGCTTATTGTAATCCCAAGATTAACATCATTTACTACAGAAGTAGTTAACAGTTATGTGCACAATATGTGACTGAATGAGGATCCGCATAATTAGCAAAGCCAGTTGTAAAACTGACCCTGGAAAATACGCCTTGTTATAATCATCATTTTCTTTACAAGTTTTAAAGAATCAACAAAAAGAGCCATCACTTTTGTGTATATTTATTTCAGTTAACACATGATTTTTTATGATAAAATGATAAATGATGAAATGATATAGTTGAAAATCTTAACCAAATGTTGATAGCTAATCATGGTCATTATGACAAATGGAGGAAGATAATTGGCATTCATATATGGATACAGCATGTGAATGAGTGGATGTCACTTGCAGTATCATATTCTTCTGTGATCTGAATTTAGAATGTGGTTGTGGGAAGGGAGGATTCATTCATAGGCTTTGAATGCAAACAGGAAACTCATCTTACTGGGAGAGCGATTATATGAAATTAGCTGTCACCACCCAAACATTGCTCAGGCAGCAATTTCTTAGCTGTAGTTAAAGAAGAGGCTGACCATAATGGTCCCTCTCAATTATGATAGCTCATAAAAAAAAAAAATCACATAAAAGCTGAAAGTACAATATTATTAAGATAGTACTAACACTTTTTCAGCACTCCTCCCCTCACCCCGCCTCTTTTCCACAAAGGGCATTTTGCATTGTGACACATTACATCAATTTATGTTCTTCTCTATTCTATGAAATATAAAACTGATGAGACATTAGGCACAGAAAAGCTTAGTTATCCAATTGTCTGAACCTTATCCAAAGTCAATGAAAAAAGTCCTGTGGACTTTAACTCATGCCCATCTTTCTTCCCATCTCCTTCAATTTCAAAATTCAGAACAAATAAAATTAAATTTAAAAAAACCCTCCCCCAACTTTTGAGTTCGCACCTACCCCATTGCTAAAATATGTTCATTATCTTTACTCTAATTCTCATAAATTGTAATGTTCGGTATCATCTACCACTTAAAGCATTTTGCAGGGTTTTCCACCAAACTGAATCACTACTGTTATTGAATCTCTTCCTTCCCCTTCACTAAATTAAAGGATGGTTCTTAAATTCTAGATCTGGTGTGGACTGGTAAAGTAGTTTAAAAAAAAACAAACAAAAAAACCACAGGGTTTTGGCAAATACATGTTAAATAGGTACCTGATTTGAATGTAATGGTGAAGGATCAAAAAGGGTTTGCTATATGGCATTTCACCTGAAAAATAAAGTGAGTTATTGTTCCTTACACAGTCATAAGCATTGTGTCTCCAAATATATGGTTTTACCAAAATGCTCTTCGAATAAAAAACATGCTTTTCCACAAAGGATGGTTCAGTGGTGAGGCAGCTAACCTAAGACTTAGGAGACTCAGGTACAATTCTCTGTTCTGCCACAAACAGCCCATGTGACTTGAGCAAGTCACGTAGGTTACATCTATACTATGAGCTAGGGGTGTGATTCCCCTGCTCGCATACACGTACGCGCACTAGCTCTCATCAAGCTAGCGCGAGTGGTGGCAATGGAGGCATGGCTGAGCTGTGCCGAATACATATCCACTGGTTTCTGGTGGGCATGTATTCAGTCCAGCTTAGCTGTGCTTTCGTTGCCTCTACCCATGCTACTATGCATACAGCTATTTATACTTCCTCTAGCCCAATGAAAGCTTGCGCAAGTACATATAAACAAGCGGGGGAATTACATCCTTCGCTCATAGTGTAGACATAGCCTGAGGGCCTATACACACTCGCACCTACTTCGGTATAACTTAACTCACTCAGAGGGGTTAAAAAAGCCACCCACTGAGCACTGTAAGTTACACCAACCTAAGCACCAGTGTGGACAGCGCTATGTTGCGGGAGAAGCTCTCCCTCTGACATAGCTAGTGGAGTAATGATGCCGATGGGAGAGCTCTCTCCCACTGGCATAGAGTGTCTGCACTAGCAGTGCTATAGTGACACAGCTACATCGGTACAGCTGCGCTGCTGTAGCGATTCTAGTGTAGACTAGCCCTGAGCCTCAGTTCCCTATCTGTATAATAGTCTAATAGCACTTCCCTACCTCACAGGGTTGTTGTGAGGGTAGATACATTTAAGAGGTTGTGAGGAGCTCAGATACTACAGTAATGCTGACCATCGAAGTACCTAAAACAGAAAGACCTTTCCTGTAATATGCTATATTATCTGTATGTTTGGCTGATGGTGCTGTAGTGGCCTCTAGGATCTGGCAGGATTATTCAAACCAATTTACAACTCTGGCTGAAAGTCTTTCTAGGGCAAAGAGTGACTAAATCAATACAAGTCAGAGCATGGTACTTGTATAGCCTGGTAAATCATCTGAATTCTGTCACTGCCCAGGATGAAAAAGGAGAACCACCCACAAGGTGCTTTTAGTGCAGCTATAGTACTAAGAGGAATGAGAGCAGAGCACGACATTCTTATCTCTTAAACCATGTTTTGTAGATGACAAGCTGGCAGGACAAAGACTTTTTCTGATTGTTTTAAATGCTTTTAGAAATTGCAAATATCAAATACCTGGCAAAGTTAAAAACAAGAGTCAGGATTGCTAGGATACCTAATTCATACACACATATACAATATTTTGTAGCCTTGATCCAGCAAACCACTTCAGAGTGCTTAACTTTAAGCATGTGAATCGTCAATGAGACTCTTCATTTTCTTAAAGTTAAGCATGTGCTTAGGTGCTTTGCTGGATTGGGGCCTAACCAAATAGGTGTTATCCTGCAATGTTAAAACATATCACCATTTTAAATGCAGGGAATCATTTGCAGGATTCCATATGCTAACAAGTGATTCTAGTGTAAATGTCATTTGGACATAAAAAATTCTTTTTCAGATGTGAATGTCATAATGATGGAGTGTTCACGACTGCCTTAATTCCAAAGATTGCTCCCAGTGCAAGATAGTTACTTTAACACAGCAGCAGTGCAAAAAATGTTTCTCAAGTCCTTTTTTGTGCATTTGATAATCTTTTCCATAATACTGTTTGATCTAAATATTGATTGGGATTCTTGTCTTTACAGTTTTTTTGTATGTAACTGAATTCTTTCACCATCTGTAAACAGAACCATAAAGGACTTGCCAACCTCAGTACGCAGACAGTTAGATCTCTTGGTGCAACTTTGTGCTGGGGTATTTGGCGATGAGTATGGGTTAATATGAAGCATACAGTAGGTCATGTGTGCTCTGGGTGGATTGATTGGTGTCCCATGATCAAGATCTATAAGTTGCCCCAAGCAGTAGTCTACTGAATGCTGATTTGAGACCTGGCCCTGAAAACTGCTGAACTTGTGCATCCCTCATTGCCATTGCCTTTCATGAGAGCTGAGGGCCCTCAGCCCCTCGGAGCAAATGCTCAAACTCCTTAAGTACAAAATGTCAGAAAGAGCAAGCAATATGCATATGAAGGCCTGAGTGGAAGTTTTATATCTCTATTGATTTCTATTAATTATTTTAAACTTAATCTGTCAAATCCATCACTGGTATAGCTTCATTGATTTGATGCAGTGACATCCAGATTGAATTTGTGCTTATGTCAATTATAATAACATCAGTAATAGTTATATTTTAGGGCATGTTTTCATATTCCAGAGGCTAACTTGTACCTGCCTCTGTGTGTGCAATTAAATCATTTCTCATTCTAAGAGGCACTTCTCTATGCAAATGTGGGTTTTGAAGAGACACATGCATGCATGCATGCACTTTTTGAAGGCACATGGGTGCATGCACTTTTTGTATCCTGTAAGAGTGGATGGGAGGCAAATTTTCAAACCCTGGATGCTCAGCATTTGCCTCCCATCCACTCTTACTGGATACATTTGTACAGTATGGACCAGTGGCTATGGCACTGGACTACTATTCAGAAGATGTGGGTTCTAGTCCTGGCTTTGCTACTGGCCTGCTGGGTAACCTTGAGCAAGCCACTTAACCCTCTCTGTGTCTCTATTTCCTCAATCAGAAATTGTGGATAATGATACTTACCTCCTTCCTAAAGTATTTTAAGATGTATGGATGAAAAACACAATAATAATATATAGCGGTTATATCATTAGCCCAAGTGGGCTCCAATCCTTGACTGGGGCCTGTGAGCCCTACAGTAATACAAATTATAAATAATGGTAATTAATGTGCATTTCGTATATAGATTGGTTTACACTGGAACCGGACGTGGGAGCTAACAAATCAATTCAATAGGACAGGAGGTTAAAACCTTTTTGGTTTGGCGTATTAAGGGTATTATTTCTAAAGAGTTTTGCTGAGACTCTTGTTATGAATTATCCATATTTCTGCGGTTTTTTTACAATTATTTGGATGACATTTGCATTTGTATCGGACAACGCCTTTAGTATCTGCCAGTGGCAATCCATGAACCAGAACTTCAGAGATCTTGATGAGATTTTGGAGGATTTGGAGGAACTGTAAAGTTTGTGAGAGTGTCACTTGCCTCTGGCTGCAGAGAGAGAGAGAGAGAGAGAGAGAGAGAGAGAGAGAGAGACTGGATTATGGCACTATTCCAATATTAAAATACATTGCTGGTCAGCAATCCTCAACTCATGTAAGTCAGAGAGACCCAGAGGGCATTGGATCTGAAGTTAAGACCATGTTGTAGGAGACATGGGGGTCAGAAGCAGTCTGGGCAGTACAGGGTGTCTGACATTCACATACTATTAAAGATGCCCATATTCAGAAGGAATGGTCAAAGGCAAACATTTTGGAAAATCTTTCAGGCTGGGATTCAGATGTTCTATCACGCATATAGCTAACTATTGTAATTATGATCTAAATTAAAAACTCACAGTAAGAAATTTGGGAAACTGATGTAAACTAACAAACAATCTCTTATTTCAGCCTATAAGGAAAAGATGAAGGAGCTGTCCATGCTGTCTCTGATCTGCTCTTGTTTTTACCCTGAACCTCGCAACCTGAATATCTATACATATGATGGTGAGTAACCTTCACTGGAAATCATCCTGCTTGTTAAATAATTTGGCAGTGCTGGGATATGACTCATTTCACTTTCACAGTTTCTAATATTTAGTCAATGCTTTGCTGATTTAACAATTCACTTGCTATTTCTGGCTGTTAGTTCTTACCAATTGCCTATTGCTCATTGTGGTGATTGTTTGGCCCCAATAACAACATATTAAAATCTCATTTTAAAAAGCCCATGGCTGGCTATTTTATAATTAGCTGTACTGTACTTAGTACCTCAAGAAATACTACCCATTCAGGAATTGCAGATATTCACAGCTGAGGTAATTCTCAGGAAAATCAAGAAAATATGCTTTCCCTAGCAGGCACCAATGAGGTAATTCTCAATTAGTAAACTTGGATTTTTCTCACCTAGGCTTGAGATAACATGTTTTTAAATTCATTACATCTGGGGACTTTTCCTTGTGAGCAAGTAGATGGGTGTTATGAATTGAACAAACTATTTGAGGAGTTGCATCTCTGGCCTGTGTAGGGGGCTAAGAGACAGCAGGGTCTCAGCAGCTGCTTCAGCAAACAAAAGCAGTACAGCATATCTGTAATTCCCAAAGGGGTCAGGAGCTATTCCTGCCCCTCACCAGCATAAAAGGAGACAATTTTGGAGAAACATTTTAAAATCTAATTTAAGGACTGGTCAAGCTGCTGGATTGATAGCCTTGGAAACAGAAATTCTTTATTTATCCATAGGACAGGTACAGCAGGAATCAGTCTATGCAAGCTTCCCCAGGTGATCTGATAATGACATCTCAGCCTCAGACGCATGAAAAACTCTAGTTCAGTCTCCATTCCAATTCAATACTTGGCTTGGTTGCTGAGATGAGCAATATGGTGCCAAGTGATATCACGTGTGATGGTGAATAGTCTCAAGTATGGACACTTGTTCACCACTGGACTGCAATCACCAATTAATTTCGCATGACCATCAATCACATGCAGATTATTTTTGGTCAAACAACTGCTTTTTAATTTAACTTTGGAAAACCAGATTGGGCTTACAAAAGTAGGTTTGTTACTATTAAAAGTGTCAATAGTTTTGAACATTTTTACCATTACTCCTCCATGACTTCCTATATATGTATTTCCCTCTAAAGTCATTGATAAACTTCTTCTAACCCTGAGAATTACCAAAGAGTAAATTTACAGTAGTTCATTTTCATGAAGCAACTACCAAACATGGCAAGGGCTAGTGAAAGACAATTTTTCACACCAGCTTTATTTGCCCATATTTATTTGTCCATATTAAGCTTTCTTTACTACCATATAAATCCCCACATACACACATATACATGCTTTTATAGCCTTCCAAAATGACATACATATTTATCTTTATAGGATTAATTTATACTTACACTGTTACTAACAAATGGGAATGTACCTCTCATGAGACCTGTTTTCTACACATACTCGGCCGTTTCCCTTTCATTGCCAAAGTATGCTATTTCTCTCCTCCAATGTTGGGTTTAGCCTTTTTAATTTTATTTCCTAGATATGGAAGTGAAACAAATCAACAAACGTGCCTCTGGCCAGGCCTTTGAACTGATCTTAAAGCCACCATCTCCTGTCTCAGAAGCACCACGGACTTTAGCCTCTCCAAAGAAGAAAGAACTGTCCCGTGAGGAGATCCAGAAAAAGCTGGAAGCTGCTGAGGAAAGGAGAAAGGTATCTTTGCTTTTTAGCTGTGCCTTGCCATATGCAATTGCAACAAAGTTTCCTATCATTTCTGATGAAAAATCATCTTGCAGTGAGGATACATCGTGAGCATTATAATAATAATACTGACATTATTTCCACTGACATTTATGGCTGATGGTACACTCATTGCAAGATGATTTTTCATCAGAAATGTTAAAAAAAATGAAAAATGTTGAATGAAACAAACTGTTTTATTCTTTCTACTTTTTAGCCAACCCCTCCTCCCCCCAAATTCAACCAGCTCTAATGGCCAGGAAGTATGGGTTATATAATGAAGGTATCTGTGGAGAGAAAGCCTTAAATTCACAATCTTTGCTCCATGTATATAGTGCTAGAACTGGGTAGGCCCCTATATGGAATAAAGATGTTCCCCTTTATGACCTTAATCAGCATTTCAGACTTCCGTGTGTGTTCATCATGTACATTCTACAAAGATGTCAGACCTTCTAGCAATAAAAAAAAAGAAAAATGCAGGGTACTTAGAGCAAGCAGACAGAACTATACCTCAGCTCTCTGGCTTCCACCCAGATTGATGGGCCAAAGAAGTCTTCCCTTGTCAAACATTTTCAGGGATAGATTTAGCTATTCTATGAATTTAAGCTTAGGTCAGACTATTTGTTATGTATATTTTAGGCCATTTTAAAACAGGATAAACGGCCAGATTCTCAGCACTGGTCAATGTGCAGAAGTCAGGGGATGGGGTACAAAGTGATTTAAAGCTCATCTTTGCATGTCTGTGGCACTTAGGGCTGCTCTGTGGAGGACTAACAAGACTTCTACTATGTTAGAGCATTCTCAGGGCTGCTCTAAATTATGCCAAGCTGCAATCACCACAGGAGGCTGAAAATGCAGTGGAAGACTGGAGACAGTACTGGCCACTCCCCCTTTCCTCCTGCCAGGCCGTCTTTTCCCTGCCTCACAGAAGGAGAGTGCAGTAAGAGCTTCTAACCTCTTTGCCACCAAATGATCTATGTTATCTTGGTGTGATCTTGCTGGCATTAGACTCACATTTCACTGGTGAGTTGATGTAAAGTGGCTACACCTCATAGAGAATCTGACCTAAGGTGCCTGAAAGTAAAACAAGCTCAGCTGTCTCTGAGCCTTTACTCTGTCTCTTGAATCTTATCATTTGTTATAAATTAAGAGCAGAGTTTGTAGAATTTTGTCAAAAGGTGGAAGAAAATAAGCAAAGAAATTAAGGGGCTCATGCTGCAACCTGGAACCACGTGCAGCAGCTTCTAGACTGTTTCCTTTCAAAAGAATGAAATAAAAGCCCCCATCCCCACCCCTTCTCCACTCAGTTACTGACTAGTCTAAATCAGGAGTAACTCCCATCCAAGTCAATGGAGTGTGAGGAGAATCAGACCCTCAATGGGACCAGGCTGATTTACACTAGCTGAGGATCTGACCGTTATTTCAATCCATTTAGAACACTGCTGACATAAAGAGACAGAAATGGGAATGAAATGGCAGCAGTTAAGAAACTTGATAATTTGTGCATATTTTACTGTGAAATCTAAACCTTCGTGGCCAACTTATTGTACTGATCAGAGTGTGTATTTCTTCCAATATAAAACCGAATCATGTAATTAGACTGGAAATTGGCTTAAGAGTTGCCAGCACTGATGCCTTCTTTTCCCCTACCAATATGTTCATTTTGAATGATGATCTCCACATTTCCTTCTCTAGCTGGGTCATTGTAACCTACGAGATCCGCATCATCCTTTTCTACCCACGTGCTACAGTTGTCAGGCATAACCGTTCTAGATCATGTCTTTTGGGCACAGTTTTAAATAAAATCAATACAACTAATTGATTGCCTTTAACAAAAGTTATTAATTGATTTCACACCATTTTGGAGTTCAAGTGGACTGTGTTAATTTGATTAGTGTTCATTAATAAATTGTCAAATTCATGTGAAAAAGCCTACAGCGATGCATATATTTCAATGGCTCCTTATATGTGCTCTAGGTTCCCTAGCTTTTTGATTATCACTCTTTTTATCACTGTATACTCATCCCTTTTTCATTTTCCTCCTTTCATCTCCCCCTTTTCCTCCTCTCCTGTGGGCCCTACCAGAATACAATTTATAATTAATGTGTATTGCTGTTTGAGGAATTTCTTAAAAATACTGCATCTCAAAGTGAGATGCACTTTGGATAGCAATAGAGTTCTCCATTCCATGTACAGGCTCCTCCTTACTGCATTCCATTATTATCCCATTATTTTAATGGGGAGGGGGTGCGCTGTGTTTTCTTCCCCAAGTAATCAGAAAGATCTCATCATCCTTTCCAATTAAGAAATGAGAGCTCATTATCACTGTAAGAAGCAGAAGTGTATTTCTTAACAGTACAGAAATCTCAACCAGATCTCTAACATGATGCAACAATTTATACCCATTGGCCTTGGAATATTTAGCTACCACACCAGATTTCTACGCTTGAAAAGCCCTAGGTTGAATTATACATTGTGATCACCATTAATCAGCATGAAAATTAGACTCTAAAGGGATTTCTACTAGTTTTAGGATTAGAGTAGAGAACTCATATGTAATTACATCCTCTTAATGGCTTTGTATTTGGATGGAAATTAATTGCACTAGTCCCTAATGCAGAACACCAGAGTGGATGCAGAATAATGGCCATATTTTCTAACATTCATGCTGTCAATTATACAGTAAAGCCAATGCGTCATTTTTAATACCATTATTATTAATGTTGAAGGATAAGCTCCCACCCAGGCATCACAGTATGGGCAGCGTCTATCCCTGTTGTGTGGAGTGGCCAGTTTTCCTAGATTTGCCTCTCTATCTGCTAACACCATTGCAGTACTCACCATCTGGCTGTGGGAGTGGAACACATTGCCTCCTTTGAGGCCATCTTTCATGCTGCTTCATTCATTGGCAAAAGGCATTTGATCCTCCTCTTCTCTGGCAGTATCACTAGAGACAAAGGCATCTGTTTTCCACTCCACTGTATGCCACAAAGACGAGCCGAGCCTCATCAGACATGCTGCCAAGGACACAAACCTCAAGGGAGGAGGCAAATAGAACCTGGAGAATATTGCTCTCCTTCTGTGTTAGGCCAATGGAAGCCCCTCCACCTCTCACATGAGTAGTTTGGGGAATTCAGGGTGATTGGCCAGTTGAAGTAGGAAGTGAAGCCAAGTAGCAGCCCACTCTGTGCAACATGTTTCCTTGCCAAAGCCTGAGATTTTATTGTGAATTTCCCCTTGGGAATTATTTTGTTCTCCTTGTAGCAGCCTTAACTTTCAAACCATGGCTTTTATTGTCTTAGGAGGAGCTGCAGAGGTTAGTTTCACCCAACTGAGTAAGGCTTATTAGCACCAGGGCCACACAGTCAGCAACGCTGTCATGGGGGAATGAGACTGGGAAGCACTGTGGAGGAAACGCCAGAGGTGGGGAATATGACAGAGACCAGGATTCTGCATGGATTCTTGCATTATTCCTCGTGTCTAAGAGGTCATGCCCCTGCCCTTCCACACAGCTACTCACCCCACACCCTGAGGGGCTAATGAATCTCTTTAATTTTTTGCAGCTCTAAAGCTACATACATGTTGCATTGGTTTGGCCCCTTCCAAATGCTTTTGCATGCAATGGCATGGGAGATCAATGCCAGAAGCTACCTTTCACAAACAGTAACTCAAAGATAAACAGCGATACTAAACAAAATCCAATGGCTGGAAGCTGACTCTAGACAAACTGAGACTAGAAATAAAGGGCAATTTTTTAACAATAAGGGTAATGAATAGTTGGAATAACTTACCTAGGGGGTTGGTGGATTCTCTGTTACTTCAAGTCTTCAAAGGTAGGATGTGGTTGGAATTATTAATTTATTAATACAGGATATTGCCAGACACTAATTCAACCACAAATTCCTTATTCAATCCAAAGGCCAAATGATATTTATACAATTGCTTTAAACATGCCTAAAAAGTTTAAATAATAAGCACTTATTACACCCACGCAGTAACAAACATTCATAAGCATTTGATCAGAGTACTCACAAAAGGGCTAGACAGAGGGGGCTTAAACTCATGTTGGCTGGCTCCAACTGGCCAGGCAGGTATTAGTGTTGAACCTTTAAAAGTTCATCTTGTTATACTCTAACAAACAAATGATGTCACTTCCAATCGCTAACTGTAGCTTAGAACCAGTTTTGGGCAGTGTGGGACTGGGCCCCTTTCTCCAGTATAAACATTGGTATGTCAGAGTTTACTACCAGTTCACCACAGAACTTTTAACCAAATTGTGATAATCTTCTATAATTTAGAGGCTTTTTTCAAGGACTTTTCCTCCTATCTTATCAGCATTCTTTTAGGTCCAGTTGTTCCAGTCAAGCCACATTCCAAGCTTTGCATTCTCCCCAAAACTTGTCTTGTTAGATGCCACATTCCTTCCAACTTTTGAAGCTTTTATTTTCAAGGCCATGTTGCATATTTTTCCTATATTTTCAAAGCCTTTTCATGGTTGATAAACCCCCTTTATTTTACTTACACTATAAAACACATATTTTCCTTCACTCCAACAGATGTCTTTCTAAAATATATACTATAGAATCATAGAATATCAGGGTTGGAAGGGACCTCAGGAGGTCATCTAGTCCAACCCCCTGCTCAAAGCAGGACCAATCCCCAACTAAATCATCCCAGACAGGGCTTTGTCAAGCCTGACCTTAAAAACCTCTAAGGAAGGAGACTCCACCACCTCCCTAGATAACCCATTCCAATGCTTCACCACCCTCCTAGAGAAAAAGTTTTTCCTAATATCCAACCTAAACCTCTCCCACTGCAACTTGAGACCATTACTCCTTGTTCTGTCCGGTACCATCCTAGATGACAGTCTAGATCCATCCTCTTTGGAACCCCCTTTCAGGTAGTTGAAAGCAGCTATCAAATCCCCCCTCATTCTTCTCTTCTCCAGACTAAATAATCCCAGTTCCCTCAGC